GACGCTCCCATGTATAAGACACACCTTAATTTTTGGACCCCAGATTTGAAAAAAAAAATGTATTACATAAAGTTATTGAACTCAAGTTTTATTCATCATATAATTCATACAACTCCTCATCATTGCCTCTCATGGCCTTCTTCTGCTGTGGCGTTTTTAGTAGGGTTTCTTCTTCCCGTAGCCAGTCTCGGATTGTTTTCTCAGTTGGAGGAGGACCAAACTTACATTCAGCAGCACGATTTCCATCACTTCAAACTTGAATTCAGCACTGTACGAAAATCTTTTCTGAGCCATTTCTGGGCAGAACGTAGCAAAACGTAACCTACCGTAATATACCGGTAACAAGTACAAAACATTGAGCGCAAAGACAAATGCGAAAAAGCGGGTAATGCAAGTAAAAAAATCTGCAACCACTGTATAAGATGCATCCAGTTTTTACACCCAAAATTTTTCGAAAAAAGATGCATCTTATACATGGAGAAATATGGTATGTCATTTAATCATGAACACACACTTAACAGAGATGTCATTAAGTGCATATTTCAGATGAGGGACCTGAGGCTCAGAAACAGAAAGTGACCTGGCCAGAGCCACCCAGCCAGAGTGGTATGGGTCTGCTGCTTCAAGGCCGAAGTGCTCCCCACTGCACCTCCTGGCTGCCCCCCATCATAGAGCTGCAGGAATCAGTGTTCCAAAGCTGGGGTGCAAGGCTGTGTGGGTGGAAGCCAGGGCGACTGGGAAATGTCCTTGTATCAGGTAGGGGAGGCCATTTGCACCCTTGGAGAGTGTAGTCTCCCCAGGTGAAGGGGCAGAGCCCGTGGTAGGGGGCTGAGTGGGCAACTGAAGAAGCAGTGTGTAAGACAGGGGCTTTTTCCAGCTCAGAGCAGTTGGAGCTCATTCAAAGTCAGCAGGGAGAGAGGCGGTAGAAGGAGAGGAACTGAGTGCAGAGAACAGGCAGGAACTGATTATTCTGGTGCTGCCTCCTCAGTGCCAGGCCCTGCGTGGCCTTGGAACACATACAAGGTACACAACACCCTGTGGACCCCTCCAGGTAGCCCTGCTATGGGAAGGGAGCTGAGGCCAGCCCCATGCAAGCAGGGAGCAGCAGCGGGCCTGGGATTCTGACCTGATTGGGCCTGAGTCCAAAGCCAACCGAGAGTGGAGGTAGGGCCCCTCCCTAGCTGGGGACTAAGGGGGAGGTAGGGTTCCAGGGGCCCTGGTAGGATGAGAAGAAGCTTGCTGGGAGCCTGGGGAGGACTCAGGAGTCCGGGGCCACCCCTGGGAGATTGTGCAGTGGGGTAGCTACAGAGTGGTCAGGGAGGGTCCCAGGATGGGCCTGGGTCTCATGCTCAAAACCTGGGGGATTATGTCAACTCAGCTTTCACCCATTCCTCTTGCCACTGACAAAAATGACCACTACTTGGGGACTAGGTAGATTAAGAAGGACTCTTTCAGTGAAATTCAAACTAGTTTAGCAGAAACGGGGAGAATTTATCTCATTTAACTGAGAAGGTTAATGGCTTCAGATATGGTGGGATCTGGTACTGTGGGTCTCTCTGCTCTCTCTCCATCTCTCAGCACTGCTTTCCTAAGTGCTGGCTTTATTCTTAGGCGGCTCTCCCCATTATTGGCAAAGACACCCCTCAACCAGCTCCAGACCCACATCCTGCCAACTCAGCAGCCCCAGTGGAGGCTTTCTTAATGATTCCAGCAAAAGTCCCGGGGCTGATGCCCATTGGGCTGACTTGGGTCAAGTGTCCATCCCTGAAGTGGTCACTGGGTCTGACCCACCGGCCTGGATCACGTGCTCCCCTCTGGAACCTGTAGTGGAAAAATCAGCGGGAAGATAAGGGTAGGAATTGTGGAGGAGAGACCCTTGAGCTAGATCCAGCTATAATAGATCTGGACCGGAATAGAGACTGTCCCATGGACCCCTTCCCTGTGCCCCACCTCCTGCTGGTACCTGGAACAGGTCATTGCATACCCCGCCCCCCAAGCATGTAAGGCATTTTCCCCTTATCTGGGTGGGTCATACCCCAGGGCCCCATCCATCCTGCCCTGTCCTACATAACCCTTAGAGCCTGCCACGTGGCCTGGCTCTCATGGCTCCATGTCACCTCAGTGCCACTGCCCAAGATGCGCCTCTTATGTAAGTTCTCTTAATAAACTCTTGATATAATGCTGGAGTTGTCAGCCTTTTTCTTCAGTCTCTTGGCCCCGGGAAGTTTTACATAACAGGGATGCCTAACCATGGACATCCACTGCACTGGGCACTCGTCCTCCATGCCCAGGACTCCTGACCTCTGATTCTTCCCTAGACCCTACAGCTGTAGCGTGAGGAACTACTCCTGACTAAATTCCAAGCCAGGCCAGCCCCTACTTGTGGAAATGGGGGTGCTAGAAGGGGAAGTGGGAGGATATGTGGTATACTGAAGTGACGTGGGACAAACCTGTGTTCCCATCCAGACTTTGCCACTCACCAGTTCTGTCCCTCAGGGCAACTCACTGTCCCTCTCTGGGCCTCATTTTTCCCATCTGTAAAATAGTAATAACAACCAACATCTCAATGGTACCTGCTATGTGCAGTTGCCTTTTGAGCACTTTCTAGATACTGTTTTAACATCCTCAAACAGACCCTATGAGGTAGGTACCATCATTATCATCCCCATTTTGTAGCTGGAGATGAGTGAGGCAAGAAAGTTCAAGTAATGAGAGTCTAAGGTCACACGGTTAGCAAGGTCTGTGGGTTAGCAAGGTCTGGGCAGCAACTGGCTTGTCAGGAGCAGAGCTAATGTGGGGAAAGTGGCTGGCCCGGTGCCAGGGCCCATACCTGCAAGGATGAAGGGGCATTTTTGAAGGTGTGAAGGTATGAACTTGCAGAGTCAGGGTGAGGGCAGAGAAGGTTCCACAAGCCAGTGCTAAAAAAGTCCTGAGGCCAACGTATCAGCATTGAAGGCTTCCCTGAGGTGAGTGGGGAGCACAGAAGGGAAGATGGGCTTGGGAGGGAGGAGGACCGGGCTGGGAAAAGGAAGGGAGGGGTTCTCATTTTCTAAGCCTCCATCCAGTTACATTTTATCTTCACGGCATGTTACCAAAAAGGAAACTCAGAGTGGAAAAGCATTTTAGCCAAGATCACACAGCAAGTGACCAGCTTCAGATCTGAATTCTCCCTCTTTGTTGACTTTTGCACTCTGGGAACCCAGAAACCATCAGACCAGCCTCCCAGTGTGTTAGAGAAGCTCACTTCCTGGGTGGGAGAGTGCTGAGGGTGATAGACACAAAGGCCTGGTGGGAGGACGCCCAAGGAAGCATCCAACACCCACCCACCAAGGCTGGGTGTGTGGGTTTCCAGGAACGACAGGGACAGGGGGAGACAGGTAACAGATATACAAATTATAGGATGAAGATGTTGTGGAGGGGGAATGGTGAGAAGACCAGAAGGGGTGGGCTCCAGGGCAGCCAAGCAGGTGACCTTCTTGGTTCCACATATAAGGCCTCTCTGTACCATCTTTGTAATTTTTTATAAATCTAAAACTATTCTGAGTTGAGAAGCTTATATAAAAATATAAATGGTAAAGAGGGCGTGGCTGAAAAGAGACAGGAATTTGAGGAAGGGAGGGCATGCATGTGGGGCTTGTGTTGTAGATGTGAAATTGAGTGAGCAGGAGGCTGGGAAGGGGGCCAGGGCCAGGGAGGTGGGAGGAATTCTGAGCTGGGACAAGTCAAAGGAAGCAGGAAGGGGCTGAGACCTAAGATCTCCCCTTCAGCCCAGCTGTGGGTTCTCCTTCCCCAGAATCCTACTGACCCTGCCTAGGCCTTGCTCCAAGAGGGGGCTGTGGAGAAACTGCCAGGGCCAGGGATCCATGGGTATAGTGGGCATAGGCAGGGGTCTGTGAAATGTTTTGTTTTAAGAGGGTCTTCCTCTACAAAGTGCTGGGAACCACTGCTGGAGATCAATGCACACACTACTCTCCTTCTCTCTTGGCCAACTCAGAACTCAGAGGCCCAGCTAGACCACCTCCCAGACTGGATTAGGTAGTTTGCTCAGGTTCCATCACCTCCTCTGGGAAGATGAGGCTTTGCAGGTGCTGAGAAAGGCTTCTGAGACCTGGGGAGAATTTCGGGTCCCACCTCAACAAAGAGCAGACATGTTTCTGGAGGCACTGGCAGTGGTGCCCACTCTCCTGCCGGGGACTCCTCTGAGGCACTAGTTAGTGCTTTCTGTGCTCAGAGCTTTGGGAAATAAAGGTGCCAGGGGGCTGGTCCTGGAGGAACCATTCCCTGGGAGTCCGGGGTTAGATGCTGCTACCAGGGGGAAGTCTAATTGGGATCCTCTGGGAGGCATGAGGCTTGGGAGACAAGGCAAAGGATTTCCCGGGCTGGCCCCATCCGAGAGGGCCCAGGAGGCTGCTGGTAAAGGAGGGAGGCTCAGCCTAGGGCTGGGGCAGGGATGGTGGAAGAGGCTGGCGATGCTGGTGTAATAAGCTTGGTTGGGGCTGGGAATGGTCAAGGAGGCAGGAATGTAGAGGTGTGGTTGGGAACTAGGATCAGAATGACAGGATAGGCTGGAGCAAGGAGGGTGCAGCTAGGGATGAGGTGTGGAGAATGGGGGTGCGTGCTAAGCACAGAGTTGGGAATGGGGCTGGAATTGGGCTTTGGATACAGATAGCAGTGGACAGTGGCAGGATGGACGGAATGGGCCTTTCGGAGGTGGGGCTGGGCGGCAGAGGGGCCAGGCTGGCTGACCTGTGAACTGGATTGGGGCTGGAGGTTGGGATGGACCAGGAACGAGGCCAGGATGTAGATAATTAAGCACCGAATGGGGCTGGGCCGGATTGGAATGAAGTGGATTTGGGATCGGGACTGGGAGCTGATTAGAATGAAGCAGGGTTTGGAGAGGAGTTGGTGAGGTGGGGACAGGGATGGGTTTGGGGCCGGGGAAGAGGGTGAGTGCTTTGGTCTGGGGACACGGTAGGTGAGGGTTTGGGACGCGGGTGGATGGGCCTCAGGAGCAGAGGGGCAGGCTGGCCTGGGTGCGGACGCAGGGGCGGTGGGTGAGGAGCGCGGGGGCGCCCAGGGCAGGCCGGGAAGTGGGGGGCAGGCCTCCCCCTGGGCCGGGCCGGGGCGGCGCTAGGACCGAGCGTGGAGGGACGAGCCGGGCGGAGCCAGCGCCCCCCGCCCCCGGCCGCTGGCTCGCTCGACTCTCAACGCTGCAGAGGCTCCGAGGCGGCGGCGGTGACTCCCTCGTTCCCTCCCTCCTCCTCTGTCCGTCCGTCTGCGCGTCTGTCCGTTCGGCCTGGGTCCGGCCCGCAGTATGGCCGGCGTCAGCTTCAGCGGCCACCGCCTGGAGCTGCTGGCGGCGTACGAGGAGGTGATCCGGGAGGAGAGCGCGGCCGACTGGTGAGCCCCCGCCCCCGCCCCCTGGCCCCTTTGTCCCCGCGCCGCCGCGCCTTTGTTTCCTCCCGGCCCGCCGCCCGGCTGCTGGGAAGGGAGGGGGCGACCCCGAAATGGTGCAGCGGCCTGGGAGGGCCGGGAGGGACTGCCTTTGTGCGCGCCGGGGGAGGGGCCGGGCGGGGTGCTGTCGGCCCCGCGCGCCCCGAGGCTGCCCCAGGCGCGCGGTAAGCGCGGTGGCCCTACGCGGGCCGGAGAGGCGCAGGATCTGGACGTGTGGCCCGGGGCCGCATGGTCCTGCAGGAGCCCAGCCCCCGCCCTCTCCCTTGCCCCGGGCTCAGGGGACAGGTGTGCACCGAGCGGCCAAGGGCACCTTCGCTACCTTCTAGCGGGCGCGGACCGGGCGGGGACGGGGCGGGGACCCAGCTAGCGGAGCCAGCTCAGCCTGCCTGGCCCAGCACCGCCGGCCGGCCATAGCACAAAGGAACGCTAGGGCGGGGGAGGAGCAGAGCGGGCTGGGGGCCTCGGCGCCCCGCCCACCGGGGGGGGGGCTTTTCTTGGAGTTGGGGTGTGATGGAAAGACGTTCATTGCCACATGGCAACCGTCCAGTGACTCCTGTACCTCTCAGTGGTCGTGGAGAAGACAGAGATGAAGGGGATTGCAAGGACTGGGCAGCTGGGCTGGGAGATGCCAAGGGAGCCGGCTGGGGACCCTGGGAGGAAGCCCTCAGGCACACAAGCGTGGAGGGAGCCCCTAGAGAGAGATGAAGGGCTGAGTAGATCCACTGAGCCCCTAGCTCCATCGCACAGTGGCAAGGGGCTCTCAGCACCCTGGTGGAGGAGGAGCTGGGCTGCCCTCTTCCCCCTCCCCAGCTGTTGCCTCCCCCGAGCTCTGGGAGGGGTGGACCACCTGCTGTGAGGCTGGAGTCCCCTGGTGGTAGGAAAGCCAAGGGGTTTCCACACTGCCCCATTCAGGAATCATCCTCCCCAAAATACTCTTCTCTTGGGGCAGGTGCCTATTCCGTTCCCAGGCCTCTTCTCCTCCTGGCAGGCAGGAAACTGAGGCACAGAGTGAGGGCAGGCCTGAGGGACCTCACTTGAGCTGGCCTTACCCTCATCCTGGGAGGGCATTTTGGAAGGGACACTGACCTGGGGGCTGGAGGAGGGGACAAGTGGTGAGGTGTCCATGCCACGTTACTGCAGCACTGGCGGGCAGCCAGGCCTGGAGGGATAGATGCGGGAGACAAGCTTTCATGTCTTGCAGGTCAGTCACAGGAGAGGCCAGCACAGGCTAAGTGGGCAGGCGGCCCACCCGTTGTCCCAGCCCTACCCCTGGGGGCTGAGATCATGGGAGGAGTTCAGGGCAAGTGGCTGGCTTGGCCTAGTGGAGGAGCTGGCCTTGAGATACGATGGACCCTGCCTGAAGAGGGGCACAGTCCATCTCAGAATGCCCCCCTCATCCGCAGTCTGGGGTACTGTCTACCACTACCCCATTGCCCCTAACCTCCCCAAAGTAGAGCTCTGGAGGCCCAGTGCGAGGCCACACAACCAGTGCTGGCCCACATCCTCCTCAGTAGAGGCCTGGAATCCCACCACCCAGCAGCATCCATGTGGCCAAAGGGAGTTATTCATCACTGGCGTGCGTCACCCCCATCTGGATTGTGTGTGAGACACACACAGATGCACACACATAGCCTCGCACATGCACACATTTATTCACTCTCAAGGGCCTAGATAGCATTTTGTAAAAAGGGTATGAGGATCACATCCTGCATAGGGGTGCTTCCAGCACCGAGCCAGGGGTACAGTGGGGTCCCAGGACTCAGGGACGGACCCTACACTAAGTCCAGAGGAGGGTGTCTTGCGTAAAATTGCTGCCTGAGCAAAGGAGGCTTGTCACTGCCCTCTCTTACCTTGCCTCTGAGGGGGGCGGAGGAGCAGGAGGGGAGTGCTCACTCCTGTGGCAGGGCCTCTGAGATGGACCACTGCCCAGGTGCTGAGACCAGGGGACCCCAGGAAGTCAGGTTGTGTAGTGGGAAGAGCCAGTGTTGCCCTGAATGTGACATGACTCACTGTGTGACCACACGTAATCCTTGCTCCTCTCTTGTGTTCTTGAAAACAAGGAGACTCAACCATATCTGGGACATCAGGGCCCTTCTAGCTCTAACATCCTGAGAGTGTGATTGTCCTGAGGGGTCCACCTGCCCTCAGCCTCCCACCTTAGCTGACCCCAGCATCTCCCTGGAACTGTTACATACCCTCTAGCTCCCAACTCACCCCAGTCCAGTTTCTCTGGCCTAGATGGTTTCTTGGTATTCGTGCCAGGATCACAGGTACCGACTGGTGCCACTGTGAGCTGGTCCCTGGACCCAGAGAGTGAAGTGTGTTGGTTGACTGAGTCAGACATCCTGCCTCCACGAAGCTTAGGTCCAAGGCAGTGTCTCCAGGGGTTAGAGCTGATGAGACATGTAGATTCCTGGTTCCCCCCAGCCTGACTTCTTGCGGTTTCACCAGGTCCCGCCACCCAGGCTCAGGCCCAGTACCAGGCAGGTTCGGATGTATTTGAGAAGCACTGGTTTAGTGAGATCTGGGGCAGGCTCAGATGCCTTTTCCCATCCCTGCTGGGGTGTGATAAGTGCTCTGGGGAGGTGCGGCTCAGGGCACAGCTTCCTGAGGAGCTGGCATTGGGGCCCTGAGGGATTTCTATTGGGTGGGCATGTGGTAGAGAAACATATGCAAAGGCTCGAGGGTGGGAAATATCCAGAACTGTGTTTGGCATCCGCCAGCGGTCCAGTGTGACCCCAGTGTGTGGTGTGAATACAGAGGGTCTAGCTGAAAAGGCAGGCAGGTGGGGCTCAGGGTTGAAGGCCTGCTGAAGGCTTTGAACTTAGCTATGGTTTCGGTCAGGTCAGTGGCTGGAGCTGGAAAAGTGGCTGAAAGTGGGCAGGCAGGGGTTGAGGATGGAAGGGGCAGAGCATGTGTTCCTGGGAGTAGCAAGGGCCCTCAGAGCTTCTGAGAGGCTAATGGTCACCCCTGGGAGGTGTGCATGTCTGGAACAGTGTCTGGGAGCCAGAGTCTCAGAGTTCTGCCTCAGTTTCTCATCTTTGGACTGGGGAGGGGCAGACCCTGCTTCTCTGAGGACCCTTTGTTCCCAGTGATGGGTTAGGGCAGCCAGACAGATGGTGGGACAGCTGTGCTGGGAAGCAGCTGCTAGCACTGGGGCCCAGGCAACAGTTGGACTAGGAGCTCTGGGCCTCACAGCCCACCTGTGTCCCTTTCCGGAGGGAGGGATCCTGGAAATTGTGTGTGTGTGTGTGTGTGTGTGTGTGTGTGTGTGTGTGTGTGTTTGTCCATCTGTCCATCCTTCTCCTTCACTCGCTTCTTCCCTCTCCTCTCTTCTCTCTCCCCTTTCCCCTCCCTCCTTCCCTCTCTTCCTCCCTCCTTCATTTCCTCATCATACCTTCACTTTCCTCCTTTCTCTTCTCTTTCTTCCTCCTCTCCATTTCTCTCTCTGACTCTCTCCCTCCCTTTCTCTTCTCCATCTCCCTTGTGCTCCTGCCTCCCCGCCCTCCAAGCCCCTAGCCTCCTGCTTTGGTAGTAGGAAAAGGGTAGCTTGGGGAAGGAGCTGAGCCCTTTGGAGCATCTGCAACAGGGCCAGTCTTTCTTGCCCCAGGCCTGTCCTCCCAGGGGGTCCTCAGGAGCAGACATTTCTGCCTTCCTGTCTGTGAAATGGATGCTGTGCCATTACTGCCTAGCGAGAAAAAACTAAGGAGGAGGAAGGCTGCTAGGTCAGTTTTCTGGTGATGCTAAGGCAGAAGGAAAGGCCCGCAGTTTCAGGAGGCCAGGGCCTCAGCTGGGACAGAGGCGGCTTAGGAGCTAGAAGGCCAGAAGAGTGTGGTCACCCAGGGGCCAGAGTCTGGGCAAGAGTGAGCTGGGTGACCTCATCCCCATTTCAGAGAGGAGGAGACTGAGACCCAGGGCGGATCCCCAGGGTCCTTTGTGTTCAGGAGATTGCGGTTGGGATGGGCCAGTCATATGCCAGTTGCTGAGTTGCCATGGTTACCAGGGGATGCCCTTAGCCGAGTGAGCGCCAGGTTCTCTCCTCCCCCTTCCTTGCTGTTGTGGGGAGGGGCTGTGGGTACCAAGGCAGTGCCAGGTAGGTTCCTGGCAACAGCCAATGGGGATGAGGAACGCGGTAGCCAGGGAACAGTAACCAAGGAACCGTTGCCTTGGAATCTCCATCTCACACCTGCTTGGTGGGTTGTAGGCTGCCAGGGCCAGGGCTCTCAGGACACGACACATGGGCAGTGATTTCTACCCCCTCATTGCTTATTCCCTACCTAACCCAAGGCCCATTCTACCAGGTCCCAGGCCCTCCCCCTTACCAGTTGTCAGTTGGAGAGTGCTCAGCCAGAACCCTGTCCTGTCTTGCCCCCTCTGTGTTCCTCCTCCTCCTCCCTAGATCCATTCCCACCCCAGATTGGCGCCTGGGCCCTGACAGTTCTGAGCCACCTCTCCCTCTCCCCAGGGCTCTGTATACATATGAGGATGGCTCAGATGACCTCAAGCTTGCAGCATCAGGAGGTAAGAATTCCAGCCATTCCTTCTTCGCCTTCCTCTCCCGCCCCCTCCTCCTGTTTTTTTCCCCACCCGCCTGGCTCCAGGCCACCTTCTCTCGCCTGCATCCAGCAGACCCACGCTTATCTGGCGGGTGTCCTTCCTGGTCATCCCTAAGATCCCCAGGGTGGGGAGGGAGGGAGCCTTGTTTCCTTTTGGATTATGAGAAGACAGCCTCAGAGCGGAAGAGTGACTTGCCCAAAGTCACGCAGGGGGAGGGGGCCCAGCAGGGATGGCCCAGATCAGCCCCACTTTCTCCTGAACCTGAAGTCTTTATTTTACCTCACTGGGCACTAGTACCTCCTGAGACATGAGGATGTGTGAAGAACAAACAGTTCCTCAGTCCCACCCCAAATCAGGCGCTGGGGGGTTTAAAGGCAAAGCTAGTGCCTGCCCACCACTCTCACACCAGCAGAACTCCAGGTCCCCAGGGGTGCCTGCAGACCCACAAGAGGAGTCTTTCCTGTGGGTTCCAGGCCCTTTACAGGGTAAGGGGTCAGGAGACAGGTGTCCTGACACCCTCCTGATTCCCCCAGATGGGGGCTTGCAGGAGCTCTCGGGCCACTTTGAGAACCAGAAGGTGATGTACGGCTTCTGCAGCGTCAAGGACTCCCAGGCTGCTCTGCCAAAATACGTGCTCATCAACTGGGTATGCAGCTGTGGGCTGGGGAAGGGAACTGAGGCCCCAGAGCAGTCACTCTCCACCCTGCTCCACCCACTGACAATGCTGGAGAGAACCCCACTATAACCCTGGGAAGGGAGCTGGGCGCCTCAGGCTGCTGCCAGCCCTAGTCCTCTCCCAACCCCCTCTTTGTTGGGTACTTTGCAGGTCGGTGAGGATGTGCCTGATGCCCGCAAATGCGCTTGTGCCAGCCACGTGGCTAAAGTGGCTGAGTTCTTCCAGGTGCGAGTGGGGCCAGGGCTTGTCGGGGTGGTACCAGTCACCCAGGGCAGGGTCAGTATGCAGGTGGTAGTAACAGGAAGAAGCCATGCTGCCTGAACACACCTTCTTGCTGCAGGGTGTCGACGTGATTGTGAATGCCAGCAGCGTGGAAGACATAGATGCAGGTGCCATCGGGCAGCGGCTCTCCAACGGGCTGGCGCGGCTCTCCAGCCCTGTGCTGCACCGACTGCGGCTGCGCGAGGATGAGAACGCTGAGCCGGTGGTCAGTGTGTGCCTGGGGCCAGCTGGCCTTGCCCAGGGTTCTGCCCGCCCCACCCTTTCATTCCTCAAACTGTAGGGGTTGGAGCTCCTGGAGCACTCAGCCTGCTCTCTGAGCTCATGCCGGGCCATTTGACTCTGCAGGGCACCACCTATCAGAAAACTGATGCAGCTGTGGAAATGAAGCGGATTAACCGCGAGCAGTTCTGGGAGCAGGCCAAGGTGTGGCCCCCGACCCCAGTCTGCAGGCCTAGTTGACCCAACCCCATGTGACAGCTCTGGGCCTCTCCCCAGCTCCTTCCTTCAATAGTGTGTCCCTTCCCACACGCTCCCCCAGCCAGCTGAACGTGAGACGTATGCCTGGCGGGCTCACCCTATTTCCCAGAACCAGTACCTCCCCAGCCCTGGGTTGGGGGTGGGCAGGAGGAGCAGGGAGTCCCCAGGCTCAGGGCCTACACTGCCTTGGCACGCGTGGTTGCAGAAGGAGGAAGAGCTGAGGAAGGAGGAGGAGAGGAAGAAGGCCCTGGATGAGAGACTCAGGTTTGAGCAAGAGCGGATGGAGCAGGAGCGGCAGGAGCAGGAGGAGCGGGAGCGGCGCTACAGAGAGCGGGAGCAGCAGATTGAGGAGCACAGGTGTGCCCAGCTCCGCCCACCGAGGCCCCACCCCACGCCAGCAGGTCCACTTGGGCCTGTCCTAAGGGGTGCATGCTGGTTTATTTTCCCAGGAGGAAACAGCAGACTTTAGAAGCTGAAGAGGCCAAGAGGCGGTTGAAGGAGCAGTCTATCTTTGTAAGTTCTTAGCCAGGGCTCTCAGTCTCTTGGTCAGGGAAATGAGGATGGTGTTTGTGTTTTTGGGCTTTGTGGGAAGATCAGTGGCTTGGGGACCGTGTTGGGCATTTTGGGTACTGCTGCATGGGGTGTCATGGGGTGTCAGGCCTGCCACTTGACCACGTGGGGTCTGGCCCCTGACGGTAGAAAAAGACCTCCTTGGAGAAGCTTATACTTTAGACAAAGAAAAAATCTATCTTGACCCAGATCCTCACTGACCCCTTGTCCCCTCCCAGCAGGGCCTGAGTGGCTCAGTGTGGATCAGACATTCTTCCTGCACTTAGGGGGCTTAAGAACTGGTCCTTACAACCCAGTGCTGCAGAGTCACACAAATGAATCTGGGCTGGTGCTCTGAGCATCTAATACACTGTGTGTGTGTAGTGTCTCTTTCAGAGCAGTCCCTTGCTCCAGGGGTGCTGTCGGAACCTCCAAACATTGGGGTATCACATAGGGCCTGTGTTTTTTATTATTATTACTTTTTTAAGCTGAGCCATCCTGCCCCACGTGTTGGCAGCTCAGCGGCAGCTCAGCTCAGGCTGGGAATTGAACCGGCAGCCCTGTTGCTCAGAGCTCACTCTTGAGTGAGCTCTTAACCAACTGAGCCACTGGCTGGCCCTGCCATAGGGTCTGTGGATTGGCCTTTTAAAAATCACAGTGGAGTCAAATCCTCATCCTTTGAATGGAGTTTTGTATTTCAGAAATAGCTAAGGATGTTTAGAGCTGAGGATGGTACAGTTTAGGACAGGAGATGGGTGATAACTCAGGGCCACACCCACAGGAGACTAGGAGGGAGGAGGCAGGACACTCTGCAGGCACTGGCATTAAGTGGCTATCATAGGTTACTGCAATCTTATCAGCTCCTGGGCAGGTGAAGATGATGTGTGGTTGGTAAGCTCCAGCCACAATTATTCCTTCAACAAACCCCAGCCACCACCTGCCATGTGACAGGTGTTAGAAACATGCTGAAGAATAAGATGGGCAAGGCCTTTTTAAAATTAATTGATCAGTTTATTTTTATTATTTAAAAAAATTTTTATTGGGGAATTGGGGAAGGGGAACAGTCAAGTTGTCCTTCAATCTTAGTTGTGGAGGGCACAGCTAGCTCAGCTCCAAGTCCAGTCGCCGTCCAGCCGCCTGTCGGCAGCTCGTGACCGCTCAGCTCAAGGTGCCGCGTTCAATCTTAGTTGTAGGTGGGTGTAGCCCACTGTCCCATGTGGGAGTTGAACCAGCAACCTTGTTGTTAGGAGCATGTGCTCTCACCAGCTGAGCCATCCTGCCACCTGGTGGCAGCTCAGTGGCAGCTCAGCTCAGGTGCAGCTCACTGGCCCATGTGGGAATTGAACCAGCGACCCTGTTGCTCAGAGCTTGCTCTCTTAACCAACTGAGCCACTTGGCCGGCCCGAAACTTCCTAATTCTTAAGTGGAGGCAACTAATTAATGTGTTTTAAAAACATACTGGCAAAACAGGCCATGTTTGCGCCATATTCATCCAGTACTCATTGTGACTCATGAGAAACCCCTGGGGGATTTTAAGGTAGGAAAAATCATAGTTGAATCTGGATTTGGGGACGGTCCTTTCAGGGTGTATAGAGAAGAAATTAGGGGAAGAGAGCACGGAGGCAGGGGACTAATGAGGAAGCCTTGGTCATGATGCCGAGATCCAGGCAGCAGTGATGGTGGCGCAGTTGGCTGGGTGCTGGGATAGGAGGTTCAAGAAAAATTGGCTACAAAGCAGGGAGCACTCCTGGATGGTCCTGGGTGCCTGGTTGGATGTGGGGGTGAAGGAGCAGGAGGAGCTGAGCTAGGTGCCCAGGCACCTGTTCAGGCTAGAGATGAGGTGGCTGAGAGTCTTGTGCATGGAAAGAAGAAACCGTGTAACTGCGTGGTGAAGGGAACAGACGTGCCACCTCCAAGCCTTTTCCTGCCAGACCATGGAGGAAACATGGGCCTATAAGAAGGCCAGAGCTGCTGGTGGAGGTTCCCAGGATACTGTACCTTTGGTTTCCAGGGTGACCAGCAGGATGAAGAGGAAGAGACCCAGATGAAGAAGTCAGAGTCGGAGGTAGAGGTGAGAGTTGGTGGGACAGGGCATGTGAGGCCAGCAGGGGCTGCCTCAGTGGGGCCTGACCTGGCCCTGACCCTTTCCTCGTGCCTCCAGGAGGCAGCGGCCATTATTGCCCAGCGACCTGACAACCCACGGGAATTCTTCAAGCAGCAGGAACGGGTCGCATCGGCCTCTGCATCTGCAGGCAGCTGCGATGTGCCCTCTCCCTTCAACCACCGACCAGGTAGTCCCAGGTCCCACCCCACCTAACCTCAACTCCTCAGGTTTTGGCCTTGAGCCTCTTTGGCACCCTTTCTTGGAAGGGAAGCCTTGCCCAAGGACCCTTGGAGACAGACGGCAAGGTTGTTCATCAAGTATGCTTCCATCTACTGCCTCCCAGGTGGCAGGACTGAGAAGGCTGGGGGTGGGAGAGGTCTATGTCAAGCCTTGGCTGAGCAGTGGGCCCAGCTAGAGGTCACCTGAACAGCTTTGGCATGGGCTAAGGCGCCCCCTGGCTGTAGGGAGTGGCCCTGCGGGGGTTGAACCAAGCCCTGCCTGAGGGTTTTTGGTGCATGTGGGATGAGCTGGTGCCCTGGCTCTGGAGCCTGCACCCATTTTCCCTGTCTGGATTCTCCTTGCAGCTTCTGCCTCCCCCAAAGCACCCTTTTGCTCCCTGTCTGCTGGCCTGAGTGCTCCTGCGTGTGCTTGGTCTGTGTTGGGGTTCTAGGGTTGGGGCAGGCTCCTTGCTGTGTGTGGCTGGTGCCGGTGGGAGTCCTTTGACAGCTTGAGGCTATAGCCCAGCTTGGCTGAATGTGCACCCTGGCAAAAGGCAGCTTGGACATCCAGGGCCGGCCCTGGGGGCGGGTGAGGCCTTGGGGCCAGGGTGGGGGAGACTGACCCTCTCTTGTCCTCTGTCTCTCTCTCTCTGTCTGTCTCTCTCGGCAGGTCGTCCGTACTGCCCTTTCATAAAGGCATCGGACAGTGGGCCTTCCTCCTCCTCCTCTTCCTCTTCCTCCCCTCCACGGACTCCCTTTCCCTATATCACCTGTCACCGCACCCCAAACCTCTCTTCCTCCCTCCCATGTAGGTAGCAGCCCCAGGCCTCGGCAGGGGGGTAAGGAGGGCCCCGCTTCCCAGCAGCCCCCCCGCCCTCACTCCCCCAGCCTGACCGTTGATCTCTGGTGTTTGTCCCAAGAGCAGGTACTGCCTGCCTCTTTTCCCTGGCCCTGAAGGGGCACTGGCCTGGCTTACAGGTCTGGAGTTGTGGTCTGGCCCCTGGGGGGCCTGGGGAGCTCCCAGCCCCCACCCAGACTCCAGAGAAGAGGTGCTGACCAGGCCCCAAGGTGGAGAATCCTGGTCCCACCTGGCTCCGGCCCTCACTGACCATCTTGGGGGTTTGTTCCACAGGCAGCCACCTGGACAGCCTCCGGAGGATGGCACCCACCCCCATCCCCACTCGGAGCCCATCTGACTCCAGCACGGCCTCCACCCCTGTCTCTGAGCAGATTGAGCGGGCTCTGGATGAGGTCACGTCCTCACAGCCTCCACCACTGCCACCACCACCCCCAGCAGCCCAAGGTAAGTGAGGGGGCCCTAGCTGCACCAGGCCTCTCACCAGTCCCTATGCTGGAAACCCCACATGGCCATGATAACAACTCCCCAGGGATATGAGCCACCCATCACCCAGACTGCACTGCCCTGGAAGTGGCAGTCAGACCTGTCCTCTGAGCCTCAGTGTCTCTCCCTGGAGTGGGGATCAGGCCTTCCTCCCAGGGCTGCTGAGCTGCTTAAAAACAGTAGGTAAAGGGGCAGCAGGGCCCAGTGGGTGCTGGAGGGTGCATGGAGCTCTTAGTGGAGGCCTTCTTTCCGGAAGGTCATCGACTCCTCAGTGGGTGGGCCAGGTAGGTAGGGTGGCTTCCCAGGGCCTACATTCCTTCCTGAGGGAGCTGGTCACATCTGTCTCTTCCATTTTTGCTGTAACAGAGACCCAGGAGGCTGGCCCTGGCCTGGACAGCGAAGAGACCAGTAAGGAGGCCAGAATTGCAGCCCCTCAGGCCTGGGCTGGCCCCATGGAGGAGCCTCCTCAGGCACCAGAGCCTCCCCGGGGGCAAGGCAGCCCCACAGAGGACTTTATATTCATGGTGGCTCCGGAACAGGCTGTCCTGGCTACCCCTCTGGAGCCTGCCATAGCTGACACCGCTGTAGCAGACACCCTGGCAGCTGCTGCCATTGAAACCGACATTGCTGCTGCTGACACCGCTGTTGCCAACACTGTCACCTCTGCCAGCCTCATTGACCTATGGCCTGGCAACGGGGAAGGGGCCTCCGCACCCCAGGCTGAGCCTAGGGCCCTTACACCACCCTCGGGTGCTGAGGTCACTCTGGTGGAGATGCCCCTGTTGGATGAGGTGGTTCAGGAGCCACTGCTGCCAGCAGGTGAAGGCTGTACCAGTCTCCTCAATTTTGATGAGCTGCCTGAGCCGCCAGCCACCTTCTGTGACCCAGAGGAGACAGTAAAAGAGGAGCCCCTGGCTGCCCCCCAGGCCCCAGTTCTGCTCTCCGCTCTAGAGGAGCTGGATCAAGAGCCGGAGCCGGAGCTGGAGCCGGAGCCTGAGCCACACCTGCTGACCAATGGCGAGACCACCCAGAAGGAGGGGACCCAGGTGGGGCAGGGCAGCCTGGTGGGAGGGGTGGGAGTCAGGGCTGGAGCAGGGGACTGACCCTGCGTTGTTAGGCTTGCAGCAGTACCCCCCTTCTCTGGGACCCACATTATTGGGTGTAAGCTCCATTCCATTCCCCCTCCCTGGACCAAACTCTGCTTTTGTTCCCAAGGCAGGCATCTGTTTCACTGGCAACCGGGGATGGAATCACCGGTTGCCAGGGAAACGGGCTCAGGCTTGGTAGGTCAGTCCAAGCCTTGCTGGGTGGGACCCAGTGACCTGGTCCTTTTCTCCTACAGGCCAGTGAGGGGTACTTCAGCCAATCACAGGAGGAGGAGTTCGCTCAATCAGAAGACCTGTGTGCGAAGGCTCCGCCTCCTGTGTTCTACAACAAACCTCCAGGTAGTACTGAGATGATGGAGTGGAATTAGGGTCGGGGTGCTGGCTTCAAGTGTGGACAGGCACCCCACACACGTATACATAGCTGGCACAGCTCCCAGGGGTTGGAAGACATGGCTGTGGATCTGCTGTCTGTCTACTAACTCCCCTCCCTTCCCAACACCATAGAAATCGACATCACCTGCTGGGATGCAGATCCAGTCCCAGAAGAGGAGGAGGGCTTCGAGGGTGGAGATTAGCAGTGGTGCCTGCCCTCAGGCTGCCCTTGCCAAGGCCACCCACCTGCGCCAGCCTCTGGCCAGATGGCCTGCCGCGCCTGCACTGGAAGCAGCTCCGCCTGGCAACCACTCCGGATTCCGGCCCTGGCCGGGGACTTGGCCACTTCCCTACCCACAGGGCCTGACTTTTACAGCTTTTCTCTCCCTTTTTTTAAAAGTTGATAGGAGACTTGTACAGTTGACCGGTTTTTCTCCCGTTGGTAGTTGAGACGCTGTTGCAAATTCCACCCCCTCCCTGCCCGGTCCAGATTGTAGCGCTTAGTCCTCCCTGCTCACTCAGCTGGCCGGGGTGGAGGCCTCACCCTGCTTGGGGCCTGGCGTCGGGGGGAGCCCTGGTGGGAAAATGTCCCCCCACCTCTTTTCCTAGTTTTATGTTTCTTGGAAAAATATCACTTTGTATTCTCTGTCCAGGGCTTCAGATATTTTGCACGAATTTGAAAACATGGCAATAAACGGCTCGCGGGCTCTGGCTCCCTGGGACCCCCTCCCCGCCCTTCTCTTAACCCCTCCCCACCCGGCCCAAAGGAAGTAGCAGGCCCAGCTGGGGCCCCTCAGCTTCCCAGCCCTTTCCTGCCCTCCTCCTGCTGGGCGGGTCCCAGGCTGGAGGCCTTAGGCGCGATTCAGGTCAGGGCTATGGGTGGGGCCAGGGGCTTGGGTGGCCCCTCCCCAACTCCTCCCTCTTTGCTTGGGTTCCTTTTTCACATTCAGTAACTGTTTTTTGGAAAGCACAAACTTATGTAACGGGTCGTGCTCATGTCTGTTAATAAAGAAATCCAGATCCCTTCGGGCCTGCTGCTCCGGGCCTCCAAGGGCGGATCTGGGGTGGGCCGCCTGCCCTGACCCCCATTCCCAACTCTACACTTCCAAGGCCGCAGGGGTGCCCGCTCCGTGATTTCACGGGCAGGGAAAAGGGGGGTCTGAGGCTCCCGGGGGTAACCAGCCTGTGGTTTGAAGCAGGCTGACTTCAGATTTAGTTCTACACTATCTGGCCACTTTGCAGCGGAAAAGCGCATTCAGGTTTGGTCCTGCCAAGACCCATGCACACCTGGCCACCTGAACCTTGGACGCAAGCAGTGGGTGACCTCTCCGCTTGTACCAAACCAGATCACACACCTTTATTATCCTCAAAATGTAACAAACGGGGTAAGAAATCCCTCCCTCCCGCGCCCCCCCTCCCTCCCGCAGTCCAAGGGAAGCATTTAAAAAGCCCCACAGTCAGGCCAGGAGTCCGCGGGTGGGGCCCGGGACGCCGGGCGCCGCTCTATACGGCTGTAGTCCTCCCGAACAAGGGGATGGAGACCGGCAGGCGCCAAGCTCCGTGCTCCAGCGGCTCGCGGCTGCCGAGTTCCGAGTCGGTCCAGCTGGGGAAGACCCGGCGGCTGCGGTCCGCCTGCAGGCAGAGTGGAGGGCAAGGCGGCGCAGGCCGCGGGGCGCTGGGCAAGTGCAGCGCCGACGTGTAGCCTCGGTCAAGGAAGAGCGGCTTGTAGCTGGGCGGCGGCTGTTCCTGTTTCTCGGAGCTGTCGCGGCGGCTCAGAAAGGGCGTGACGATCTTGCGGTACAGGCCGCGCGTGTCCGTGAGCACCTCGCTGTAGGGCGGCGGCGGCTCGGCCATTAGCACCGCCTCTTCGTAGCATGGTGGCTTGGACATGTCCGATTCCGCTGCGGAATGGGAAGCGGTCCGAGGACGTGAGGCCACCCGTCCCCAGCCTCCCGCATAAGTCCTGGCCAGGCGCCAACCCCAGGCCCAGCCCACCCCCTCCTCCTGGGTTCTCGGGGGAGGCTGTACAGGGGAAACTGGGCGGGTCAGCCGTGAGCCCGCCCCGCGGCCGAGACCCCGCCCAGTTCGGTGGCTCGTGTCGGCCCTGGCGTAAGTCACTACTTACCTTGGCGCGGGTAGCTCCAGGGACGCGGCGGCACGGAGAGATGCGGCGGCGGTGGGTGCGGCAGCGCGTGGTGGTGTGCGTGCGGGTGCGCGTGCGGCTGCGCGGGCCCGTGGTGCAGCAGCGGGTGCACGTGCACATGCTGGTGCGCGTGTGCCGGCGCTTCGAGGCGGCCGCGGTGCGGCGGTGGCGGCGGCGCCAGGCCAGGAGGGCTGCCGGCCAGGCTGCCCTCGAGCTCGAGGGGCTCCAGCTCGAGGGCGCGCAGGTTCTGCTCACGCAGTCGTTCCTCCTGGCGCCGTTTGAGGCGGCGGCGCAGGAAGCTGCAGAAGCAGCAGAGTAGGACAATGAGCCCCCAGATGAGCCAGAAACCGGCGAAGCACGTGAGAAACGTGTAGGTGCCCTGAGACATAACCATGGCGGCGGCGCAGGCGGCGGGTCCTCGGCTGCTTCACTGGACACTGGGCTCCTCTACGTGGCCCCGGGCCCGCGCCACGCTCCCAGGCGCAGCCAGTGTCACCTGGGGACCCGCGGCTGGGGGCTGCCTGCGGCGGGGCTCAAGTCGTGCGCGCGCCGGCGGGGGGCAGCAGCAGTGGCGCCCGCTCCTTTCCATGGCGCCGGCGGGCGCGCGGGCGGGCCTCACCCGGGGCCGCGCGGGACCTGTGGGACAGACACAGGGCGCGATGAAGGCGCACTGCACTGCAGCCCCTGATGACTGCCCTGCCCACGCTGGTGCCCTGCGCAGTCCCGGGGAAGCCTCCTCTGCCGGAACCCCCGCACTCCCCGGGGGCCCGGTGACGTCACCGAGGATGACGTCACGCCTCGAGGTTTCCCGGGTTTTCCCAGATCAAAGATCCAGCCGCCACCGCTGAGCCGAGGGGACTCCAGGAAGGCCAACAGGGGGCGTGCGAAGGCCAGACTCGGCCTCTGAACGAGGGAGATGCGCTACCCGCTTCCCCGGGGTACAGGGTACCCCAGCCTAGAAAGGGTTTCCGAGGTCCGTGGGCAGGGCGCTTAAGAGGAGCCTCAGCGCCGCTTCGTACCGGCGGGGAAAGGGTGGCCCACCTCCTAGTGCTCCCACAAGCAGCCACTAGCCCCCAGCTTCAGCCCTGTGCAAGTGCCTGCTGGCCCCTGGCGTTCTATGTCTTGTACCTGCTCCCACCCAAGAACAAGACACGTTCTAATATCTTGTACCTGGCTGCCCAAAACATGGAATAACCCCGTCCGCACCGTGGCCTCCCAGCTGTCACTGCTCTTGCAGCGGGGCTTGGGCAGGTGGCTCCGGCTGCTACTGCATGCCACCTGCCTTTGTATGCGCGGATTGCCCGCCTGCCCTGCGTGGGCTATTCCCTCTCCTTTTCTCTAGGTCCCTCGGCTTGCCGAATCCCAGTTCGGTTGCCTCCTACTCTTGCTCAGTCCCTTTGGCCCTGCCCTTCTAATTCCAGAATGCCAGGTCACTTCCCTTCAATTCCTTTCTCTTTCTGCAGAGGAAAGGAAAAGTAGCTTGTCTTTGGTACCACCTGGTCCCACATCACTCCAGATGGGCACCTCTCCTTCCATCTCTTCACAGCAGGGTTGAGAGGAAAAACTTGCATCCTAAGAGGTATGTAGGAGGGAACCCTACATACCGGTGACAGATGGCAGGCGACTGACTTTTCACCACGCCCGCAGAACAGAAATGAGCCCTTCAGTGCTTATACCCAGGGGCTTTCACATACAACCCTTTGGGGTACCTGGAATTATTCCTATTTTACAGGTAAGGAAGGGGGGAAGCAATTAGCTATGTAGATGGCAGGTGGCAGTGCTATAATTTGAACCCAAGCCTGGCCACAATACCCTAGTCTAAGGTGGAAGAGTGCTGCTGCTTGAGCTGCTTTGTGGGTCTCTTCCAGGAGTCCCATGGATGCCCCTATCCTCAGTATGTCCAAGGCACACACACATTCAGGTCTGGGGGCCATGGTGGGCCTGAGCCCCAAGCTGAGGGCTCCACATCAAGCCATCTCAGACTGCTCTGGGGGGAAAGCCAGGCCACAGGCTACCCCAGATGGTTCCTGTCTGACTCCACAGCTGCCTTGTGCCATGTGCCACTTGGTGCCCATGCCAGTCCCTTTCTCCTGGGCCTGTGTTCCAGAACAGACAATGGCAGGAACAATAGCTCCACCCGCCCCCTCGTCAACCCTGCCATGAGGCTGCCATGGTGACGCAGCCCAGATAAAAACACGATGCTGCCAGTCACTGGGAATTAATTAAATCTGTTGTTCTCCTTTTCCTGAGCCCACAGGAATTTTCAGGAATGCTCTGAGGAAGCTGGCACTAACTAGGCCTGCAGAGCACGAACAGCTCTGGGTCAGAAAAGGCACTTCTGGGGCTGGAGGTGATGGAGTTTAGCTGAATTAGAAATGGACTGTCTACTGAGTGTCAGGCCTGGTTATCAGCCCCTTTCCATGTAGCATCTTGTGTGATCTCCAACACCAACTTCTCACTGGGAGTCCACTGGATAGATGTGACAAGCTCAGAGAGGGAAATGAACTTGCTTCAGGTCACACAGCTAATAAGGGGAGGAGCTAATATTTAGCCTGAGTCTGAATCCAAAGTCTGTGTCAAAACACCTTACCTCACATGACAACTGAGCTATACATGAAAAGCCCAGTGTATGTGAGCACTGGTACATGAGGACTTGGCAGCAATGGGAACACTGGGCAGACTGGCTAGCTTATAGCCAAAATGTACCTTCCTGTTCGTTCCCACCAAGGCCCAGAACCTTCTGGCCACCGACCCTCAGCTCAAGAGTAAGAAAAGGCGGGCCAGCCGAGTGGCTCAGCTGGTTAAGAGTTGGCTTAAGAGTACGAGCTCTGAGCAACAGGGCCACTGGTTTGATTCCCACATGGGCCCGACTGACACTGCACCTGAGCAGAGCCGTCGCTGAGCTACCACCAGGTGGCAGGATGGCTCAGCTGGTGTAACAACAAGATTGCCTGTTCAATGGTGGCCTATGCCCACCTGCAACTAAGACTGAACTCAGCACCTTGAACTGAGCTGCTGCTCGGATGGCTCAGTGGATAAGGTGCTCTTAACAATAAGGCTGCTGGTTCGACTCCCGCATGGGATGGTGGCTACGTCCACCTGCAACTAAGATTGAACACAGCACCTTGAGCTTAGAGGCCACGAGCTGCCGACAGGAAGCCAGATGGCGACTGGTGCCCTCCACAACGAAGACTGAAGAACAACAACTTGGCTGGTTCCCTTCCCCAATTCCCCAACACTGTTCCCCTCCCCCAACTCCCCAATAAAATATTAAAAAAAAAAAGAGTAGTAAAAGGCTACAGAGTGAAGGAGAGATGGGATAGCAGCTCCAGGGTTAACCAGGGACAAAAGACAGGGACCATGCCGAGGAGCTCAGCTCAGCTGGCTGGGCATTGGGACAGACTAGGACAGGCCACACCCAAGACCTGCTGGATACCACTATGGCGCCTTAGCCAGGAGGCAGGAACCACTGCTGCATTTTACAGACTAGGCCACTATGTGTCCAAGAGAGGAAGTCTCACAGCTGAGCTAGCCCTCTGACCCCACACTGATGCCAACGCCCAGTTTGAGTGGGCAGGACCCGTCTGAGGCCTGCTTCCTGCCCAGTATCTGGCCCACAGGAGTCACTCAGTCCATCTCATCTAACCCACAGTGGCTGCTCCATCCATCATCGTCAGGACATTCATTCAGAACTTTCTAAATGTGATTCTAGACCGGGCCAAGCTGCTCAAAGGCTCTCTGAGGAGCCTGTCATGCTCTTGCCCGTGTCTGGGGACCCTTCCTGCAGACCCTGCTATAGCCTCTTGCTCACAGCTGCTCACCTCCCCCAGCCCCTCCAAACCATTCACAGCAAATACCTGCTCCTTGTCCGACTCCGGCTGTGCTAGGAGTGGTACCTTCAGATGGACTCATCCTTAAGCCTGCCATTTTATGATTTGTTTTCTCTTTTCTTACTTTCTTGACAGTTAGTTAAACATTTTTAAGGATTCTATCTTGATTTATTTGTAGTTTGTGAGCATACTGCTTTGTATGGTTTTCTGAGACCACACGCTCACTGGGAGTACAGCAGGGGGATGAACGCAAGGCCCAGGGCGGGGAGTGAGTTTCTTAAACTCCATGTCACCTCAGTCTCCTCCTCAGTGACCATGGTGAAGACTGAGCTAATCCATGCAAAGGGCTTGGAGATGCTCAACAAACATTAGCTGATGATGGAGGCTTCTGAACTGGGGCTGCAAAGGTGTGTTTTTGTCCCCACGTTGCTCCCCGCCCAAGGGCTGGACACAGATCGTTGTCGCAATCATCCTATGAACTGGGTTAGCATTCTTCCCACTTGACAGATGAGAACACTTGGCTCAAAGAGACTAAGTGACACCCAAGGTCACCCAAATCTCTCATTTTTGGGCCTGGTGCTACCCTGCAGGCACCTACGATACTCCCCCTCTGCATGAAGAACCTCAGCACCCCAACCTCAGACCCCAAAGATCTGCTACTGGGTTGTTTATCTCAGCAGAGGGCCCACCAGTCACTCCATCCACCAAGTCCTCAGTGCAGTGTGCCTTCATCTGTCCACTTCCTTTGGTCCCCCTTCCAGGACACCAGCATCTCACCTAGGCCCCTATTACCATGCCTGCCACTTCTCTCTCTACTTCCGCACTGTGCTCCTGCCCAGCTCACCCACTCTCTCCACATTGCTCATCCCCCCAGGCCCTCTCTGGCCTAAACCCTCCAGCCACTTCCCACTGCCTCAGGAGACAGCCCAGCTCTTTAACATGGTTAGACTGAGTGTCTCTCAAACTGGCGTGAGCCTCAGAGCCACGTGGAGCTTGTTAAGAGAGAATGCTGGACTCCCCGTGTGGTAGGTCTGGGGTGGGGCTGGAGAGTTTGCAATTCTAACAAACTCCCAGCAGATGCTAGTGTTGCTGGTCCAGGGAGCAAGTTGAGAACCACTGACCTAGATCGTGGCCTCTGAGACGAGCTCCCTCTAAGACCTCTTGAGCCTCACCTCTCAGCACCTGGTGCCCCATCTTGCACTGCCTAGCATTCTGCTTTTTCTCCCCCAGGGGCCTGCCACACAGCCCCGCTGCTCTGGCGCCAGTGCTTACCACTGAGCCTCATGGCCTCATCTGTCACTTCCCTGGACAAGTCAGCACCGAAACACCCCACCTCCCAGGGCTGGATGAGCAGCACAGTGATTTCACAGTGTTCTGCAGTAGCCTGTGTCCACCACCAGAGGCTGCGTCTGTCTGATCATCTGACACACAGTAGCTCAAAAACCACTTGTTGAAAGGAGTGACTGACTGGAGGTGCCCAGTTACCTGTTTGGTCTTTTAGCCGTAGAGACAAGGAACACATCAAGAGCTGGGTCTGCATCCAATTCATTCCTGAGAAATGTTGGCCATTCATCAAAATGTCACTGAGAGAGAAGCTGTCACCCAGCTCTTGGCCCTTGCAGGGTGGTTTATAAGCAAGCTGAGGACCATACATCTAAGTGAATAAAAGGAAAGACTACATGGAGACACATGCAAGGGCTCTGGGTGGGCAAAGGGAAGCCCAGGCAGCTGGGGCTCTGGGTCATGAGGTTCCTTGGATGTGTGGCCAAAGCTGCTGTTCAGGTGAAGGGACAGGGACTAAGACCAGGGACAGAGGAGGGAGGGAGGAGAGTGGGGTGGAATAAGGTGGCTGCCAAACTGTGCTGTGTGACCTGCACACGCCAGGCCTGCTGCTAGCCTCTTTACATTCACTATCTCAGTGACACTCAGGAGGTGGCTGTTGCCACCCCCATTCTACAGACAAGGAGCTGGGGCCGGCTCAGACCCACATAGCCAAGTGGTTGTGAAACCCAAGTGACGGCAAAGTCCGCCATCCTAGCAGGAAGGGCATTTCAGGGAGGCACTGGTGACATTTTTACACTCCTCCCACACCAAGACAGATGAACTGAAGCCAGAGAGAGATGACGGGAATTGTCCCAGCTGCCACAGCCAGCCAGATGTGGAGCTGGCCAGAACCTCTTTTCCAGCTAGAGCAAGGTACTGGCTTGGCACCCTTACCTGTAGATAGCATCTCTGTGACCCAACCCTGGCACCAGGCTAGGAACCTAAGGCTTGGGGAACTGCAAACAGGACAACAGAGACTGGGGACCCAGCGACTTGTGGGCACAGACACTTTACTTGGGTAAGTATCTACTATACTCAGATCCATCCCTCTAAGGGAGTTGGCTGCACCTTGGGGGTGGAAGGGGGATGAGGATCCCCTCTTTTGTGGGTAGCCTGGTGTTAACACACAGAGCACTGAAGGGGGCGCCCTGGGTTCAAATGTTGTTTCTGCCCTGCCTGGGCTGTGTGACCCCATCCCAGTTATTCTCATGCCTGAGACGCAGATTCCTCACATGTAAGACAGGGATGATGAGACTTGCCGAGCAGCATAAGGGAGGCACAAAACTGATGAGGGAGATGAAAAGAATTCAAGACCAGCATACACGGCTACACACAACAAACCAAATGCCAGCACCCTGCAGCCTCAAAAGGTTCAAAAAATGTGGAAACCAGCCTATGGCGCTACGTCTATACATGCTCGAGGGTGGCCTGGCAAAAAGTGCTGTCATTTTACCGTGGACCAGAGATCTCAGCCTCGTGACTCTCAGGCTAGACATGGCTGCGTTCTGTGGGCCCACAAGAAATTTTTTAAAATATTCTGATTAGTTGCCAACATTTTAAAACAAGATTATACATAAAAGTATGGATTTCTGGCTCATCTTGAAAATTGGACAATTTGGTCATACCAAATGCACATTCTCATATGGTGACACAAACTGCAGCTGAGTAGCTTCCTGGCCCACCTCACTCATTCCATTGCCCCCTGGGCCCTGGAGGCATTTGGGTCTCCAACCCCTGAGCTAGACTGAGCACCCACAGGGGCCAGCACCACATGAGCTCATCTTTGCTAAATTCCTTCTCCCACAGCCTGGCTGCAAGCTGATCAGGCCATAGAGCCCACAAACAAAGGACTAGGGCCTGGGGACAGTTTCCCAGGGGACTGAGGCAGCCCTCTTCCTGCTTGGTCTTCCCTAGAGAGAGAAAATGGAGGGAGGAAGGGAGAGAGCCAGCCCGGCAACAGCACAGTCCTATAGAGCATCTGAAGAGCAAGAACTGGCCTGATATTTCTGGAAGAAGGAAAGGTGTACCAAGGTCAGAAAGACAGCATTTGTTCACTGGAAGAATGTGAAAGAAGGTTAAGAATGCTCCTCTAGAAGGTTCTACAGATCTTTCCTGCCTTGCTCACAAGAGATGTGAAGTAGGCAGAGGGGCTGTGCCAATAGACAAACCTGCACTGAAAACCTGGTTGTGTGACCTTGGGCAAGTCACTATCTTCCTGAGCCTCGAAGCCTTCACCTCTACAGTGGGAATGATAAACTTACCTTGCACAACTGTTGTAAGGATTAGGAGACAATGGATGCAGAGCCCTTACCACAGGTCTCACACAGAGCAGGAAGGGAATGAAAGGGGCCTGTGAATAATCCCCAAAGCACTGCTGCCTGTTGGAGGGAGACTAGGGCTTGACTCAGGGTACCACCCATCTATGGGCATCTATGCCAAGGCCTCAAATGCCTGGGGCAATGGTCACCTCTGGTGGCCGGGATACCTCCCTGGATGGGAAAGAAAAGCCAAAGGTGGTGGTGGTCAAGGCCTTTGGTTGGCAGGGGCTGGCATCTGCTGAGTCAAGCAGGTGAGAGCTGGCCAGAGGGTCATTTTCCCCCCCAGCATGCTGCCCACTGAGGGGAGGTTGGAAGGGAAGCCAGAGGTCATTTCCTCTGACTCAACTGGCCATTCTCCTCCCAGAGGAATCCCCTGGGGGTCAGAGCATCTCCATGCAATGCTGGCCTGCCTGCCCACCAACCTGCATGCTACCCAGCACAGTCTGGGCTTTGTGCTCAGACAAGAAAGGGACACTTGTGATCCAGACAATGGGCCGGGCGCTCCCATCTGGCCGGGGCTTCAGCTTCCCGGGGTCAGCAGTGTCTTTTCCTCTGCCCCTGCCCACGCTGCTCCCACCCCACCCTGGAGAACGGTGGCTTGGAACACTGAGCAGAGACCCACCACCGGCCCAAGCCGCATTTGGCACATGACCCGGCCATGAGGAGGAGGGATGTGAGCTTCTTTCCTCTCTCCTGGTAAGGAACATACCTCTGGGGCACCCAACTTGGTCGCCTCATTTCGCAGACGGGTGGTGGTAGCGACGGTGGGGATGGCAGGGCACAGACCCCGGACCCAGCCTTCATGGCTCCTCCTGCCGCGGCAGGCCAGGACACCCCCACGTTTGCAGCCACCCCAGAAGCCCTGCTGAGACGACTGCAGCCACGTGGGAGCCAGATCGTGCCCGTGGGGCGCTCGCCCCCCACCCCCACCCTCGACCGTCTGTGGAGGCAGGCACACCCAGACCGGCCAGGGGGGCGAAGTTCCCTCCACCGCGAGAGGGAGAGCCCTCGTATCCCCTCTCCCCCTGCGACCCGAGGCTGCGGCCCCGCGTGGGATGGGGGAGGGGTGGGAGGGGGCGTCGCCGCCCTGCAGTCGCGTTGCCGGGGAGCGCAACCCCGTTGCTGTGGCAACCGTTTCCAAGCGAACCGGTGGCTGCTCTCGCCCCGCTCCGGCTCCCTCGCTCATTGGCGCCCTCCCTCTTCCTGCCTCCCTCCCTCTGGTGTGGGCTGGGGGTGGCGCTGGCCGGGGCGGGGGTCTAGGGCGGCGACCCGGGGCCAGGGAGTGGAGCGGCCGGCCGGGAGGGGCCAGCCACGGGACAGTCTTCCGCCCTCACTCCGTGCCCGCCCGCTCGCCGCCGCCGCCGCCGCCGCCGCCGCAGTACTCACGGGCCCAGACATCCTCCTGGAGCTTGTCCTCCTGGCTCTGGGCGGCGCGGGCCCCGCGGACAGAGCCCCCGGCCGGGAGCAGCGGCCGGGAGCAGAATACGGTAGCGCTGGGTTGCTGACTGCCAGCGAAGGCAGCTCGGAACGCTGGCTGGAGCCGCGGGGCGCGCGCACGGGCGCGTACACGGCGCGTCCCGAGTCCGGCGTGCGCGCGCGCAGCCGCTAGCATAGGGCTCCCGCCCCCCACAGCCGAGGAGGCTATCCCTGGAGCCAAAGGCACAAGACCCTCACCCACCTGCAGCGCCGGGCTCGCCTTGCATAGAGAATGCGCACGCCAAGCCGCACACCTGGCAACAGGCTATCCAGGCCGGACCCACGCAGGCGGATCCGGTACACACAATCGGCGGAGCACACGGGATGCTTAGCCAAGCAGCTGAAGTCCAGACCCCTGAGACACATACATACACACAGCTCAGCCCGGAAACCACGCACACGTTCAGACCCTGGCCGCATACTGACAGGCACTGCATACACGCAATAGGCACAGCTTGGAGCAGGCAGGTACCCCAGTGTGGCTCCAACTCATGAATTCATGGCCCCCTCCAACTGTGTCCCCAGCAAGCATACATCACCACATGCCTACTTAGAAGTAGCAGGAGGAGGAGAACCAAGTGCTGGATCCATAACGCTGCTCATACCCAGGAACAGAAGTGAGCCTAGGGAAGGCCCCACTGTTTAGGCCGAACCTGGCTGTCAACCAGCATCTTTTTTTTAAAGATTTTTATTGGGGAATTTGGGGGATAGGAACAGTGCTGGGGAATTGGGGGAAGGGGAACAGACAAGTTGCTGTCTTTTTGTTCTTCCGTCTAGTTGTGGAGGACATCGCTTCACCAGCCCAAGTTGGCACCATCATTGCGCTCTTCCCGGGCGAGGCAGATCAGTCGCCGGCTTCTGGAAGGCCACTCACGGAGGTTGCTGGCCGCTCACGCTGGCTGCTGGCTACACACGGTAGCCCATGGCAACCCACTGCCACAGGGGCTGCAGCCTACGCCGACGCCGGCGACGGCGACTCATGGCAGCCCAGCTCCAGGTTGAGCTGTTGTTCAGCATCTTAGCTGTGGAGGGCAGTGTCACTGGCCCTCATATGTGGGATCCGAACCGGGGCCCTCTGGCGTCCCAAACCAGTTCTTAACGATCGCGCCACTCGGCCGGCCCAGCATCTTTTTTTTTTTAAAGAAAGTTTTATTGGGAAACAGGACCCATCAGCTCCAAAACAAGTAGTTGTTTCAATCTAGTTATGGAGGGCACAGCTCCTTGGCCCATGTGGAAATCAAACCAGCAACCTTGGTGTTATGAGCCTGTGCTCTAACCACCTAAGCTAATCGGCCACCCCTGTCCACCAGCAACTTAACTGAGTTCTGTCTCATCTGAGGAAATCGTTGCACACCAGGGAGTCATCGTAGTGGACCTGTGAACCCAAGTGCCCTGCTCTCCAATGTAGTGGGTAGCCTATTCCGACTCCTTGGGTTTGTAGTCGGGCTCAGCAATGCAAAGACACAAACATGGCCATAGCATTTTGCTTTTAGGGGTTGTGCCCTGATGAGAATGGGGTCTGTGACTAAGACCCAGGAGCTGTGCCACTTCTGGTCACAGCTCTAGGTGTGTGCATGCAGCAGGTGTAAGCCCAGCCCCATCTAAACCACATGGACTGAGAGGGGTTCCCCAAAGGAAACTTGGGATACTTTTGTACATGCTGGGCAGATACCCTAACATGTTAAAATTCTTCAGAGGCTCCCCTGCCTTGCAGAGGCCCCATATCCTTTCAGCTTTCAAAGCCCTGCATAGCTGCGTCTCATGACTTCGGCTCCACCCCCACCTACCCCACCCCCAGCCATCCTAAACCACTATCCAGTTGGCTCCTTCACCCAGGTCCTATGTCCTAGAGGGCACCAACTCTGACACCTACATGGCCCCTAGCCCCAACACTGGCAGCTCCAGGATTATCTCTGCCACAGTGCTGACCACACTGGGTTCCACTGTTCCCATCTGCCTCCCTACAAGACTGAGCTCCAAGGTGGCAGGGGCCTTGTCTCCATCTGAATCCCCAGTTCCCACCTCAGAGCTGGATGGGCAGGTGAGCTTAGGAAAAGCTTGTTGGGAAGTCAATTCTGGGAGTTTCCTCTGCTAAAGGTCCATTGTGAGCATTCAGGTGAGCTGAACCCTAGTCAAGAAGTTTCCTGAATGCTTCCCTAGCCCAAGGGGGTTTGGTGGGTCTGAAACCACTGCAAGCTGTGTGCCCCAAGGTCCTACTTACCCACCTGGCACCCACTCACCCCTGCCCAGGGCTAGGCTTTGGCCTCTGAGCACTGATACCTAATAACTACCCGCTCTCCCCAAAGCTTGGAAGAGAGAGGCAAATGCACCTTGGGCCCCAACATGCCTCAAGGGCAGGATCCAGCTTCATCTTCAGCTGGCTTCCTTTCTACTCTTCAACAGCCACTCACCAGCTGGAAGACCTTGTCAAGGCCCTTTCCCTTCTTTTTTCTGCAAGTTTTCTTGATAGAGGAGGCAGCGCACACACTCCACTCACCATCAAGAGCTGGGACAGCACAAGAGGGCCCTTCTGCTAAGTTGCTGCCTAGAGCCTTCTGGCTGCCCTTGAGATAGCTGTCAGCTTGGCACCCAGCACCCACTCCCCTGGCAGGGAAGTCCTGCCAGTGACCTAGAGGCTCAAGGAGGGTATCTGGCTGTTTCAGTGGATTCTTGTAGCCACCCTGTGAGGCAAGAGGTATCACACTCATCTTTCCAGACAAGGGGAGGGCCTATGCAAAGCCAGCTTGAAAAGTGAACCAGGCTGGGATTTGAACCCAAAACAGCAAAGCTCAGGTGGCCTCTATAGCACAGGGTGCCTCGCCAAAGCAATGAACAAACCCTTATGGTGGTTACGGGGCATACTTGGGGTGGGGAGGGAAGGGATGCCGCAGCACGGCCTGGGGTCACTGGGAGATTATGGAGCGACGGGTCTGTGAAATCTGGGTCAGACTTGTGGTCAACAGGCTGTCACCCCAAATCTTTGCATAAATGGGATGCTATGGAATGGAATACTTGCCCCATCCCTCTCTGGCTCCAGCTGAATGTCTCTTTCAAGACCTGGCTCAAGTGCTATCTTCAGAGGATCCTCCCTGTAGCCCACATGGTTTGGTCCTCACCTACCCCTGCTACAGACTAACTCCCAATAGCATCCTTGTCTCACCTTTGCCCAGCCACATTTCTGCTTCAAGGGCAAAGCCGAGGAGTGGTTCTAATGCATGTGTGTTGGCCATGGGCCAGGAACACAGCAGGGGTCCAGGTAAGACAGCCGGGGCAGCTGTTCCTAACAGCAGCTCCCACCTTGCTCCTCAGGCGGCTCCAAACCACAAGTGATGGCAAGGCCACCTTGGTCTTAGGGGGGACACTACCAGCGAAGCCTGCCTCTCCAGCACAGGCAGAGCCAGACATCCATGCCCCAGTGTGGATCCCAGGCGTCTTCCCCCAGGACTCATCCCATTTAGGAAGTTGAGCAATCCACTGGGTGAGACCAAGGGCCACCAAGGCCTGGCTGCCTGGAGAGGTTGCCCCAAGGGCAGCCCTGAGGGCTCCGGGGCCTTACTGGAGGGGCAGCCCTGCCAGGCCCACCTCCAATCCTTCCCCACTACCAGCAGGGCCAGAGAAGCAGAGACCCCTGGACACCAGGAGCAAGAAAGAGGCAGGCAGGGGTAGTTGGCCAGGTTTGTGCTCAGACTGTATTCACATAGAGACACGTGGCAACTTACATTGGACAAAATGAGTAATAAAAATTGGCTTTAAATATGGAAAAACCAGGGTCCTATAATCCCATGCTACCCCACACTGGGACTAGGATGGCCATCACAGTCTGTGAAAGGCTGGGCTGGGGTCTGGGGTGCAGGCACACAGCCTCAGCCAGCCCTTCTCTCCCTCTCTCTCTCTCTCTCTCACACACACACACACATATGTACACTCACTCGCACACGCTCACACACACACCGCACAGGCACATAGGGAGGGGTGGATTATTGCTGGGCACAAGTGTCTATTGTTATGAGAGGAGTCTGGAATGTTTGAGGGTTGGCCAGGGACACCCCCCACACACACCTGGGATGGGGCATTTCTGCAAGAGTTGTCTTCAGGACAGGGCCTAGCATGAAGGATGAGGCACCCTGGGAGCTAGAAGGCAGAGGCAGACCCATCTGGGACAGCCTGGGCAGTGGACTGATGGATCCCAGGGTCAGCCCA